CACAGACCTATATGTTATGACACATACTTTACATTTTAGGATATTTTTCTGATAATGTCTAAACTTTCAACAAAAGTGACACTTATCTTTCTTTTTTTCCCTTCTTGTGGATTTGAGCATATGACACATTAATTTTTAATGGTCCTTTTTGCTTTTTTTATTTTTTTTTTAGCCTCTTATTGGCTCATTAGATTAACTGTGTGAATTTCTTACTTCTTAAACCTTGTTTCCTCTTAAATAAGCATATATTGTAGTTCGTCACATTCCGTTCTCTTTTATAGTGTTATAATTTATTTAGAATGGACTATACTCACGTGGTAAAGAGTTTATAATAAATTGCACAAAGAAACTTTCATTCACTTCCATTCCTATGGATCTTAATTTTACTATTGTATTTAACATTTCAGTAATATGCTCATGTGTAGTGCGAGAACCACTGAATTTTATTGTAGTTAACGAACCCATTAATGTCCAAGCAAGTGAATTATTAACAGAGTCAAATTGAGACATATCTTCCACAAACTTCAAAAATTCTTTAGCATTATCAATTTTAGGAATTGTTAAGTTAATGTTATTTGCTATTGTCGTCTGCATGAACATTAAGCTCAATCTATTTGATCTTTTCCAAGCTTATGAAAGACCTTTTTTTCAATACTACTTGAATCAGTAATAGCAACGAGCCTACCAATCATGAATGCCAAATCAAGATCTAAACACCTAGATGATATTGGACTTGTTCACATTATTTAGGAAAATTGAGTCCATTGAACTTTATAATAGGTGAAGCTTACGATTGAATAGAAACAGGAGAAAATGCTACAAATACATAGAATGCTTATACTTTAAGTTTTACATTATGCTTTAAGTTGTAACTTAAACACATAATACATTTTCAAATAACATTTATATAAACATTAAATGTACATTGAAGTTCTCTTTTGAAAGATTTAACAATGTACAACAATAAATATAATTGATACTTAATTTTGATGTCACATAATTGGTAATTATATATACTCCAATTTAAACATATTTGCTATATTTGGATATGTAAAAAATATCTAATAAAATATATCAATCAACCATGATTATTTCCATGATTATAAAATTAACCAATCTACCTTTTGGCAATCCCTAAATATTTTATCATCAATGAACTTTAGTTTACTCAATAAATATATATACCATCATGTTATCTCGTTTATAACATCACATAATTATAAGTAATTGAATTTTATTTAATTTGATATCTATGAAAACATTTCTAATTTGGCCACTTTGCTTACTAACAAATTATACATGCTATATATCAAAAAAAAAATCATAACAATTATTTTAATAATAATAATACATAATAATAAATATAAATTTGTAGAAGGTGTTAATATTTTGAGTAAACAAAATATCCAAAAATTATCATATATAAATTTTACATAGTTATTGTATCTCACGCATACATAAATTACAATATATATATATCATAATAAGTAAATAAACATAAAATAATTCAAGATTTATTGACATTAATGGCTTTCATGATTATTATAAAGTATGTAATATTAAATTGTATTATTAATAGTAATAAAAAAATCACAAAAAGACAAACATTAATGACTTAAAAAATCTAAAATAAACTTTCAAAACCTGATTAGGCTTTAAACAAAAACAAGCATCCTAAAAATTAAGTTGAATTCATTTATTTACATTTATTATGCTAGGGTTATTTATTTGTTTTCTTTTCTTTATGGTAAGTTTTAAATATCTATAACCTTTAATTCATTATATTATGTGTTTATTATGGTAAATAAATAAGTTTTGATTATTACATTTGGAATTTCATGGTTGAGAGGCTTGTGACAAAGTTTTCATGAGTAAGCTATCATTAGCTTTCAAAAAAAAAAAAAAAAAATTGAAGTCTTTAACTTTCAATAAATATATGACAAAAGTAATAACAAACAACAACATGCAAATCTATCATAAAAATAATAATAATAAATTTATAAAGTAATCTTTAAAAGAAAATTACAAGTTTTTAAACCAAAAACTCTAATACCACATATTATAATTTCTTTTATTGTGCAAATTGAATCATAACTTTGCATAATCTTAATGTCCAAAGTCTTAAAACAAAATAATTCTCACAATTTCTTATTTAAAGATATGTCATCCCTTCATTCATAATAAACTCCTTAAAATTTTTAATATAGTTTCTCTCTCTTGATTTTTTTATTCACTTACCTTTTTATGGAGACAGTTTAAATTTATAGACAGAAAGAAACGTAACTTTTAATCCATACATTCCATCAACGTATGATTTAATAACTTAATAACTCTCTTTTGATCAATAACATTTTTTCTTTTAATTTCATAGCATTTATTAAATCATTTATTATCTTTTAAGTAAATTAAAAGATATTTACTTCATGTTAGATTATTAGAATGTAGGCCACATAAATACAACAAATGAAACAAGAACTAATAGAAATTTATGTTTGAATGCCAAACAAAGCAAAATTATGTTTAAACTGACTGAAGCAAGTTAGTGAAGTGAGCAGCCTTAGCAAAATCGCCTTCTCGTCGTGCCATGAGGATATGAAACACGAGCATGAGTCGAATACGAATGCTTGCAATTTGCTGGATTATGGGATTAGTTTCCTCCTTGAGTTGTTCACGTTCTGCTTCTATTTTTCTAGTTTTTCTCGAACTTGCCTTTGTCCTTCTTTAATTTCTTTTTTGCTTCTTGCTAATGTCTTCCATCTCTCATTTCAATCCTTCAAATTTCACTGTCATATCTTTTGTTCCTTTCTTCTTCTATCCACATTATACATAAACATATATATATATATGAGTTAAAATAAATATATATTCAATATCCTTAGTAAAAGATTTTTTTTATTGGAAAATAATGTGACCCCCATGATAAAATACAATTAACCAAAAAAAAATAATTAATTATCTAAGTCATATTTAGGTAATATTTTCTCAGTAAATCATATTCAAGCTAAACTACTCTAGTGATATTGGACATAAAAATAACTATCTCAGTAACTGATAAATACAAAAGTTCCTTGATGATATATAGGAATAAACTCTAGTTACTTATCCCTAGTCTAGTTTATATACTGTTTGTGACATGATCTCAGTGTAATTATGGTAAACAAAAATAGAATAGAAGAAACCGATCAAAGTGAGAGTGCATTTCTTTACGTGATTCTTTGCGTGATTGGAGAATGCGTGAAGTCAAGCAAACACGAATTTAGAAGAATAAGCCAAGAGCATGGCGAATCTGTTTATGGTAAACTAATTTCTTTTCATGTGGAAAATATACTATTATGTCTCCATAAGAATTAAATAAAAAATAATTTAGTTAATAAATAGTAATGAAAAATTAATAATTTATAATGAGGAGGGATCAATTTATACAATGTAAAATTTTTTTAAATTTTATACCTTTTTATAATCCTTGATTTTAATTGATCTAAGAGATGAGAGACAAGTAAAAAAAAAAAAAAAATTAAAAAATACGTAAAATTAAAAAAATTTTATACTTGTAAGTTGATTCCTCCTCCTTTATAATTGATTAAATAACAAAATAATAAAATTTTAATATAGTATTTAAATCAATCATTTTTAAAGTTTACACTTTTAAATATAAAGTACAAAAATGGACCTCTAAACTTTAAAAAACGCATTGTGCTTTTTAGGAGATTTAGAGAAGACGTGTTGTAACTCTATCCTGTACTCTAAGTTGAGGTAGAGTGAGTTTGGATAATTATTCTTGTAAGACTATTAAAAGAGAGTACAGAAAGGATCTTTGGATTGGTTTATGTTACTGTCGAGAGAAATTTTATTGTATTTTAATTTTTAATAGGAGAAAAATTATTTACTTTTTCCATATAACCAAATGATCGAACCATGTAAATTTTTTATTCTATTTGCATGGTTTTTTTCCTAAATTTTTCTATTGTTTCTTAAGGGAATTTTTTTTTTTAAATGAAAACTAGATAATTAATATAGAACTTGTGTGCCATTACTTGCAATTACAAAGCCCTTAAAAAAAAAAAAAAAACAGATAAACGGAACTCCACAATGCCTTTTATATAGAGTTAATATATGATATATTGATAGTATATTATTTCTATATACTATTAATTAATAATAAAATGACACCTCATTTAATAAATTAAAATTAAAATTTTAAATCCTTAAAAATAAATATTAATAAATTTATTTAAGATTAATAAATATTAATAAATTTATTTAAGATTAATTAATTATTAACATTTTGCTCTTTCTTAATTTTTTTTTTTTTTTACCGTCTCCCTTTTCAATAGTCTAAAAACCCTCGTACGTCACTGAGTTAATATCCCCTAGAGAGTGAAACAATGCAGTTGGATCCACAAATGCACAGTGAATAGAATCAAAAGCAAGCTTTTTGAAAATGGGTTTGTGGAGTTAATGAGCAACATATTAATCTCTTTATATTTTTGTGCAAAGATCTCCGAAGAGTAAGTTAAGACAATATAGAAAGCATATTGAAAGACGTAATGCTGCTAACATCACCACAGTTACCGGATTTCTTACCTATTCTAACTCCATTGTTTCGCCGGCAAAAGAAAGAACAGTGGTTTTTTTTTTTTCTCTAAATCAGATAAATTCTATTAAAGGATAGGGAGTGTTTGGTTCCATTGATAAAAAACAGAAGAGCTTTTGTGGAGAAAGGTAAAAACCCTAACAAGAAATGGTGAAATCTATATGGGAAATAATGATGATCCACTTTTGTTTTGAAAAATAATCTCTACCTTTGTAACCGTGGGTGAAGCAGCCAAATAGCAAGATTGAAAATGGATATGAGGGTTTCAGACTATTGAAGAGGGAGGTAGTAAAGAAAATTAGGGAAGAGTAAAATTTTAATAATTAATTGCTACTAAATAAATTTATTAATATTTATTTTTAATGACTTGAAAGTTTCATTTTTATTCATTAAATAAGGTGTCATCTTATTATCAATGGATAATATATAAAAGTGATACACTTACCAAATATTAACTTTTATTATTTTTGTGGGTACTTGTCTTTTTAGAAACAAAGAAATAAAAAAAAAAAAAAAAAAAGCCTTTTGTCATGTCAATTCCACTTGACCAGCGCCTTTACTTTTTGGCAATTCATATTTGCAATCAACCTTGGCTTCTTCATCATCCCAAATGGCATAAGCTTCTTCTCCATGCGCAGCTTCATCACCAATCTCCATATCCTCTTCAGACATCCTCAAAGGCACAATTTGTTGCACCAAACGACAGATTATGCTTGTACTCACAATGTTAAGAACCACAACAAACAAAATCCCAAGCAACTGAACTCCCATCTGTCGAAGCCCAGCACCAACTCTGCCGTCAGTAAATCCATAAAACAGGCCAACGTAGTGCAAAGACGTGCCATAGAAGAAGCGGTTAAGCTTTGGTACAGCAAAGAGACCGGAAAGTATTCCTCCGAGGGTTCCGGCTATGGCATGAGTGTGGAGAACTGCCATTGTGTCATCCACCATTTGAAGCAGTTCGGATCTCTTGTGGACAACCATCATGGTGAACCATGGGATTGAGCCAGAACAAAGTCCCATCAGTATCGCTGCCCATCCTTGCACAACCCCTACATATCAATTTGCATGTTACATTTAAATGTGTCAAGGCTTAAACAAATGAGATCACAGACATACAATTTGAAGGCTAAAAAATATTCATTGGCCTATCAAGACAAGTCTAGCATAACTCATTAACACTTTGGTCTACCTACAACAATACTATTATAGGGTTTTTATTTTTTTATTTTTGTCAAAAAAAGTTTAGGTTGAGAGAGGTTTCCTGTTCCTAGTTTAGAACAAACCGTTGGTCTTAAAAGGATTTACTTTGGATTTACAAATCGTCTATCAAGAAAAATTGCCGATGACAAAACTTAAACCTAGACTTTATAACCGAAATATTTGAACGTTACCAAATTTATCAGACTTAGTTGGCAATATTATTATAGGTTCAAGAAAAGCCAATTGACTTTAAATTTGTGCACCGATCTACAAATTTAACATAACTGTTTTGATTGGATGTGTACTTACCAGCAGCAGGTGTGATGCAGACCAAACCAGTTATCATGCCTTGAACTGCACCGATAATGGAAGGCTTTCTAAAAAAAACAAGATCGAGTGCCAGCCAAGTAAGCAAGCTAGTAGCAGTACAGATGTGAGTGTTTAACACTGCCAAGGAAGCATCGGTGTTGACTGTATATGGATCTCCTCCGTTAAACCCACTCCAACCCATCCACAGCAATCCTGCTCCAGCTAACATCAGAAGGATGTTATTTGGAGGAAATCTCTGTCTGTCTTGGGTTAGACGAGGCCCAACCTGCAAATGTCAAGCCCATAAGTTGAATTTTCTCTTCTGCCCCTAATTGATCTAAGCTCAGAAGGATTAATCAGTGCAAGGAAATTAATATGTTACAAAAAGTTTAATTTAAGAAGTCAATGGGCATAAGATATTCAAATTGAAATTATATTTGATACACTGTTAGTGAATCAAACATTAAATCATTCAAAATTAATTAAAAACTTAATCGATGATGTATAGAATATTAATCCTATATATTAAGCAGTGGAAACTATAGGTTCCATACCCAATATGCAGCCGTGAACCCTGCAACTCCAGAAGATAAATGGATGACATATCCTCCGGAATAATCGATGATTCCCATCTTTGCAAGAAATCCACTGGGATACCATATACTAAAAGCCGTAACTGTATAAGAGAAGGTTAGCCATAGTGGCACAAACAGCATCCAAGCATAGAAGTTCATTCGTCCCAACAAAGCTCCAGCAATCAAAATCAAAGTAATAGCAGCAAAAACACCCTGGAAATACACCATTGTTGCGTTGGGGAGTTTCCCTAAGAAAGCTTTCTGAATTAGATAGTGTCCATCCAATGCAACATTGGGTTTTCCCCAAATTGGAATCATCTTTTCACCAAACGACATTCTGTAACCCCAAACAGCCCAACAGAAAATTACACAGGCAAAAGCATAGAGCACCATGAAAGCTGAATTCACAGCCCATTTCTTCTTCACTGATCCTCCGTACAGGATCAGAAGTCCTGGAATGCTTTGCAGACCCACAAGCGTAGCTGCTGTGAGTTGCCATGCATTGTCACCTTTGTTCATCCAATATGGACTGGCCTCATCAGAGGCCAGATTCTCAGGGAGGGAAAATGGACTTCCACTCATTTTTACATCAACTTTCTTTCCCTTTGCGAGAGTGTCTAATAATGCAAGAATCATTATTCTTTTGGGATTTATATAACTAGGAAATTAATCAGTCTCGATTATGTCGATCAGCTGTAAATATGATAGTATCTTTATTGTCATTACTCATTTTTAGTATTTGTTTAACTTTTGTTCCCATTTTTAAAGTTTAGTGTTGGTAAGCAACACCACTACTTGATATTCTATGGTTTTCATCGAGTTATCCAAACAACTGTAACGATGGTTTCAAAGTAAATTTGGCTGTTCGTTATCGATCCAATTTTGATTTAATTACTCTGCTGTTGCAACAATGATATAAAGATATTAATGAACTTTTGTTTTTGTTATTTCGTTTGACTTAAAAATGAAACAACAAAATTCGTGGAGGATTTTAGTTGGCATTTATTTTGTTTTTTCGATAATTTAAATCTTAATATCTGTAATTTTTTTTTATCTATTTTTTTTTTGTATTAAAAAATGCTAATGAACCAATTTGGGAAATGTTCATGTTATAACTATAATACAGGCATTCTTTACAAGAACCTACTTATATGAATGTATTTTTGGCACTGTTTAATACCGTTTGGCTTTACTTGTAGTTATATCTTTTCTCGGAGGATTTTTTTTTTTTTTTATTGGAAACCCCTTCATCCATAATCAAACATCATCAACATCACAAATAAAAATGAGGAGTGAATTCCTTCAGATCTAAAAATCTGCTACGTGGCACTCCACCCTTGCTAGCTCATGAGCAAGTTTATTAGCGTTCCCACTAACATGACTAGAACTAACTACTTCAAAACTCAAAGCAATGTCTTTTATAAGATTAATCAAAATACCTTCTTTCCACAATGACAAATCACCATCTCTGATATCTCTAATGGCTAACATGGAATCACTTTCAACCTGTATCCAAACAAGCCATTATCTCTATCATTTGCAATTTTTTTTTTTTTTTATCTTCAAATTGTGAATTTCTTTATGTAAAAAAATGATAATAAACACATTGAGAAAATATTCATATTATTAATATAATGCAGGCATTATTTGCAAGACTATAGATAAATTAACTTAAAAACAATCAAGGATCAAGTCCAAAATTTTCATTAACATCAAAGAAAGAAGTAACAAAAAGAGAAAGAGGCCCCTTTGCACATGCAAATAGAAAGAATTAACTCTTTTTCTAATTTATTTAAAGACAAAATTCAGGGAGCTGTTAAGAAAGAGAGAGAGAGAATGTTTCAAGCCTTGATTTTTACAACAAACTTCTCCTGTTATTCCTTTCATTATTTACTAGGACTAGCTTTTTTAACGCGTTCTATGCACTGGACTTTTTATTATATTTTTTATATTATTATTTTATTTTTAATTAAGTTTAATTTTTTATATTATCTTAATGAAAGAATATGTACAATATACTAAATCTAATTGTACGTCTATACATGCTAAAGTATAACTAAATGACAATCTACAAATAGAGTTTATATTTGATACACTATCTATGTATAGATTTTATACACTGTCAATAAATCAAATAATGACAATTTATTAATGAGGTAAATCAGATGATAACACTTTATTAATGAATAAATTATTTTAATTTGTGTATATTTATTTTAAGTATTGATATTTACTCATTAATGAGTTATCATAATCTTTTATTCACTGATAATGTATAGAATCCAAACATTGAGAGTGTATCAAATATAAACTATTATAAATATTGTAATGCTCGTTCAAAGTTTAAATTTTTGTAAATTTTCAAAGAATTAAAAAAAAATCCCTTCTTTTTCATAAAAAAATTATTTTCTTCAATTCATTTGCTAAACATTGAAAATTTTGCTGCTTGGTCTTTCTTATTCCATCAAAAAAGCAAGGTTCAGTCTTTAAATGGTCAAGATTAATAATTGTTTTTATGATAATATTGATATGGATATATAAAAAATATATCATTAAATTAAATTGTGAATGCCATTTATTGTGGTAGAATATTTTTAAACTATTGAATCTTATAAATTTGAACCAAAAATAAAACATCAAATACTAATAATATTAATAATTTATTTTATATATATTTGAGTGAACAACAAAACATAGCCATTTGTTTTTTATTAGTTCTTATTTTTTACATATTTTAACATATATAGTTGCTTTTATTAATTAGAATATAAATCAAATATATATTGAAAATGCATATACAGTTGAGATCTCTTGAACTTATGCACATCAAATATCCAATTTAACTAAATATATATATAAACAAAATCTTTTTTAGAATAAATCAAATTTAAACGTATATATTATATAATACAAATATGACGAGTTGTTTGAAGAAACAAATAAATGGAAGAAATAAAATATGAAAAAAAGCAATGAATCATACCAATTATCTAGTCGAAACTAACCCAAATGTGTGCTTTTTTCCTTCCATTATGAAATCTGAAAATGTAAAAATTAAAATCACTAAAACAAAAAAAAAAATCCAACACCATCACATATTTTTACAACTAAAAAAAAATTAAAAAATAATAATAAAGACAGAAAATGAATTTCCTTATTCATAAATGTGATTTGGTTTTACTCTTCTTTCTGGCATTTGCCCATTCCTATCAATAGCCATAAATCACAACCATCAAATAAAAAAAAAAAAAAAAACTTGTATTCTTTGATTTCTAATTTTAATAATAACAACCAAAATAACCTTAGCTAGGAAGTGATACTCTCATTTTATGAGCTTTTTTATTTTAATTCTAAGATTCTGATTTTAGTAAATAAAAATTTATTAAGCATCTATATATTTATATTTTGAATTATGATCAAATTTAAAAAGAAAAGATAAATTATGATTTAACATATTTAAATTTAAAATTTATGTAAAAATTTCAATCACTGATAGAGTTTGACATGAATTTAAATTGCTATCCAAAAATATTACATTCAATTAATTTATTAAGTAATTTTATTTTACAATAGACAAAAATTTACTAAGCATATATATTTGGAACTATAATTAAATTTAAAAAGAAAAGATAAACTATGATTTAATATATTTGAATTTAAAATTTTCAATAATTTATAAATTTAGATTTGAATTTAAATAATTATCCAAAAATATTAAATTTCAATATTAAATAAAGTGATTTGATAAATAATGTATTGTAAACATTATATTGATAGATTTCTTTTATTAAGCATATCAAATTTTAATTTTGCATGGTCTTAACGCCCAAGATATTAAGAAGAAATAATTTTCACAATTTCTTAGTGAAAGTTAGACCTTGATTCATAATGAACTCTTTGAAAATACTTTTTAAGAAAATAATTTCTTTTTATGCAACGTATTTCTCTCTCTTTACCTCTTTAATTTTTGTATCCTTCTTAATGGAGAGAAAGCATCATTTTATAGGTACAGAAATGAGCATTTCTTTGATTTATTATTTAATTGTCTTTATTTATACAATCCATCGATGTATGCATTAACAATGAAAATCTCTCTTTTGTTTGTATTGATCAAAATGAGTTTTAATAACAATAGTTATTAAACTATAATTACTTATTAACTTAAGTTATTAAACCATAAATAAAAGGTTATTCACTTAATAATGCCATGTAAGTCATAATATCTAACGTTCTCCCACATAGCCTATGTGGCATTTTGAACTTTATGGTTTAATAAAACAACAGAATGCACATAATATAAGTTAAATCCTTTCTTAAGTTTATTAAATCATAAATCATCATTAAGTAAAAACAAATAAGGGTTTATAGAGATTGTATGTCATTAGCTCAACATAGTCCTGTTTATGTATCTCATTATTAGTTTTATACTCAACTTGATCTTTAATGAGAGATATCATAATGGTCTAACAATAATGTCTTCGTTAGAGACAAATCTTATTCATATTTCATATAATTCAATCATATATATATATATATATATACTAATCAAATAGAACATAATGCATTAACGTGTCATAAACAGTATTTAAAAGAGCTCAAAATTTCAAATACTTAATGAACATAAAATTTTATCATAATGCCAATAATTGTTTTTAATAATACCCACTCTTTTGACATGTTCATTAAATATCTTTAGTGGTAAACCTTTTGTTAACAAACCTATAACCATAAGATTAGTGCTAATACATTTAATTGACACTCTTTGTTTAAAGACTTCTTCTTTAACAGCAAAATATTTCAATTTCATATGTTTAGCACCTTTTGAATACTTGATATTTAAAAAAAAAAAAAGACTATTGTGACATTATCACAATAAATTTTTAATAACTCAATAATAATGTTGACAATTCCAAGTTTTAAATAAAGTTTCGCAACCATAAATCATGAATAGTGGTTTCAAATTATTTCACAAACTCAGCTTCCATAATGGATGCAACAATGACATATTACTTTCCACTTTTCCATGAGATTGTTCCTTTTGCTAAAAGAAACAAATAACCAAATGTAGATTTTTTTGTATACACACAACTAGCAAAATCTAAACCTAAATATCCTATCAACTTAAGGTAATCGAATCTTCTATAAATGAGTATGTGATCTTTCATTCCATATAAGTATCTCAATACTTTTTTTGTGACTCTCTAATGATTTAATCCTAGGTTATTTTGATACATGCCAAATATTACGACACTCAAACTAATATATGGCCTAGTACAAGATTGGGCATAAATCAAGTTTTCAACAATAAATGCATAAGGAATTTGTTTCATTTGTTTACTTTTCAATTCATTCTTTAGCCATTGCATAAGACTTAATTTATCTCTTTTATGAATTAGAACAACACTTGTAGAGCACTTTTCCAATTTAAATATATCTAGAACTCTATTAATATATGTTTTCTAAGGTAATCCTAACAATCCTTATAATCTATTACAAAATATTTCAATTCTAATCTCATAGGATACCTTCCCATATTGCTTTCATTTCAAAATTTAGAGAGAGAAATTTTTTAGTGTCATGTAATAAGCCAAGATTATTAGTTGTAAGCAAAATGTTATCAACATACAAAATCATAAATATAAACTTGCT